ACTGTAGCTAATATTAAAAAGGAATAAGTGAATGCATTTGTAGATTTAAGAATTCTGCAGAGGCCTACATCTTCTTGATAGAGGCTCTATTGAAGTTGGGGAAAGGGGGCATTATGACGCAGGTTCTTCGGCCAACTAGTATAAACTCGATTATCCCAGCTTTTCACGATGCAAAGGGCTCGCCTGACTCACTTCTCTAAAACTGCCTACACTCTTGACTCCGAGAGTTATCGTAGCGTTTGGAGATAGAAACCTGCTCATGCATTGCGCCCCTAATGGAATAGACCTTGATGATAAGAGGGCAAAAGTTTGGGAGCGAAGGGCTGGAAATGGACAAAGGATTAGGTGAATAGGACGATAGAAAGCTCATTTTGGGCGGGCCTACGCCAGGGTAGCGTGAATCCGAAATCGAACATTTTGCTTGCTGAAGCCCAGTAATAAATAATAGCAACAAGCAGAACATACACAAGAATCAATAGTGGTAAATAAATGAACAATAAGATGAATGAACTGACCTTTCTCTATTCCAGGACATGGGCTGGTCGTCGAGGCTTGCAATAGCGCGTTCCATGATGTGCTGTGCTGCCTCAGTTTTTATGGAAATGGAGCGAGGTATTGATATGGATGCAGGAGTATACAATTCTATTCAACTTGTTTTCATCAGCGAACGTTCATCAGAATAAAGACCTAGGCGGCTTTTGATTGTATTGCACTAATATTTTTATTCAAACTGAGAAATAAGGAATTATGGCAGTAATAGTGCGTTTCAGATGTCGAAACTGCTAAGTCTAAGTTTGTCTCTGAGTCTTTGCACTGAGTGCAAAGCCTCATGACAGCTACATTTCTTCATACATTGTACTTAGTACGCAGTAGAATACATAATTACTGTAATGACAAATGTTCGAACTCCACAAATTGTGGTTCAAATTTCTCCGAATGACCTCAAACACGAGTCTTATGAGAGACCAAGCTGGGCCGGTTTTAGGCTAGGGTCAAAAACTGTTGGAGCTTTCTAGCAAGATGGTCGCATTTTGTGATCTCAGAGAGAGGAACTGTATTTTCGAAGAACCATGGAAAAAAGGCAAACTTCTGAAAAGATGGAACAAATTTTACGATTGATTTTTTTTTCGGTGGAACAGCCGAAATTTTTGCCGTTTATAACATAACAGCTCCCCGCCGCTCAACGTAACTTTGTACTTATGGGGGGGGCGGAGTTTGCCGGTAATGAACCACTTCAACGACAATGGACACAACACTGGACGTAAAGGTTGCGCTTGAGGTCCCTCCACCAGGGTCGGTCCTACGGTGGTTATGGTTGCAAATTTACGACCCCTCACCAATGTGGGTTTGAGACGACCGCTTTTCCTACCGCACCATCACGAATCTTCCAGACCCCGCCCACTTTTCCTCCGTCGAGGGCGGGTTATATACGCGCGCACTGAAACGGCAAATTTTTCCCGCGCCACTCCCCACTCATCTCATGCAACTTCTTACAATCGAAACAAGTACGACCCCCCTCCAACCTAAACCAAGTACGACCCCCCGTTGGTACTTGTACCAACGTAGGGTTGACCTGCCCCGCGACCTCCATAGGGGAATGTCTGAATTCATTTTACTTGACCGCGTGAAATGGCGCTAGCCAGGACACGCGAACAATTGATCGAGAATTTTTTATTGATCGGTTTCTTGTACACTTCTCCCTACTCTTGTGCGTATCACTTAAAGGCCTCCCCCTTGAAGGAGGGATCACGATGACTGAAAGGCGGGCGATTGTCTGATGACGTCTTGGTTTCTGATGGACTGACCTCATGACTGGACCCCCTGAGGGCGTGGGTTGGGATAGTCGCTGCATTCCTCCCGCAATGAGTTCAATGATCAGCAAAGTAAGCTATCATGCTAATCATTATCCGTCCTTTAAAGCCGAAGTCCGGAATTGAACTAGTGATATGACCACTTCGTAGGGATAGCTCAGCTGCGGAATGACCTGAAAGCGAAAGGAAAGCAAGGGAACTCTTCGGGAACGCTGAAATTGAGGTCTTACCCTTCAATAAGGTGGGATGTGGTACGACGGCAAGACAGGGCGATCAGAGAAGAGAAAATACGCGAGAAAGCGCGTCGTTTGAGAGAGCACGCTGATCTCTATATCAATGCACGCTGATCTCACCGTCTCTCGCGGTGGGTGGGAAGCGTCGCAATGAGGGTCGATGGTTGCAGGCCCGTAAGGATTAGCGCCTAACGCGCACCATTTTGATCAGTTGAGATGGTCTGCGGTAGGTGCGGACCCTTACAATATGTGTCGGGTGTATTTCCTCGTCGGGGCTTAATCCAGGCATTTGCTTTTAACTACTCAACCTATCATGTACGCACTTTCAGACATTTTTCTTATTCCCAGAGCTGCGGGTAAGAATAGTAATAACTTATAACAATTCCCTCAAAATTCGTCTGAATGGGAGGGAAATGATGGTAGCGGGCAAGTGGTGCGCTTACACGCTCCGGGTCGGGGATCAAAATCGTCGAGGAGTCAGTTCAAGCTAGCCAAACTTTCCCGTCCTCGTCTAGAGTAGAGCTTCTGTTTGAGTAGAAAACACCCATTCCCTTCCATCAGTCACGTCAAGTCACGTGACAAAATAGTATATCACTGAAATAATCCAACGGATTTAAAGGCAGGTGATACGAAAAATCGGTAAAGAAGTGAAAATTGAGGTTAATTGAAGTTAAAGTTAAATTGGGGCTAGAAGAACTCATAAGGGAACGAGATTTGGCGCTTTCGCGGCCACGGTCGTAGCGAGGACTTCACCCTTTGCCGTCAAATGAATGCCTTCATGTATCTGCCCCTTCTGATGACTCTTCAGCCGCTGGTCTCTCGCCGTCGGACTTCAAGCTTTTTTGCAATGGGTCGCAACCACACGCACAATCAAGTTGGCAGTTATCGCAAGCTTAACTGTGAGATCAGCGCTGAGGCTCATTTTAGCAAAAAGCGGAGATTTTCGTGGGTTGGGGTCATCTCGATTGTTTACCGCTTTGCAATTCTTCGCTCTTACGAGGCCTTCCAACAGGACCGATAAGTCCGAACGACGGAGGACGTAACACCGCCTGGTCCAAGCAATCCAAACTTCGTTCAGCTGGTCCAAGGAACGGGTTTGAGTTCAACAATCGACACATTTGCAGTTTTGATTAGCTGAAGAGCTGTATTTGCTCGCGTGATTCAACCTCAACACATCTACGGAATCATTTGCATTATAGTAACCGCCAACACAAAAACCAGACAAACATGTGCGAAAACTCAGCAGAACGTGGATCAATCTTGCTGCCACCCTCAAAGTACGTCATCATAGTATTAGGTTAACCTAATTTTGGTCATTTTTTTTTTGCTCAAGGAAGGAAAAGAAATTTGTTCGGAAAAAGTCTGCTCCAGGATATTTATCGGAGTAATTTCACTGCTTTCTACCACAATCGCATTGTTCGTGATGGTTCACCGACATCGCTATGACAACTCTATTCAAAAATGGAATATGATCGGGAGTCGCGAAACGGGAAGCCTACACTAGTGAAGAGAGGACGAACACTCTTAACAGGGCACCGGATGCGATAATTCGCAGCGAACGAGGTGCCCCTGCGATCTAGCATGGCCCTCCTCACGCCAGTATCGCCGCTTCCTTCCCATCCTCTCACCGTCTGGCTCTGAAAACCAGGCAGAGAGAACGTTAAGGCCTTGATAAGGTCAGCACCGATAAGTCACGCCTAACGCAAATGAAATGGGCAGAGGGATCGATCGATTCTGCAGCTAATTTTCCCGTAAATCCGCCTTTGAGTTACGAAGTAATACATTTCACCGAGCCACCCACTTTGTCAGCCAGTCGGCCAGGGTTGCATCGGTCCATAAAAGCAATATGGTAGCAATCTGAAAACGCTTCTTCGGTACCCACACTATCCGTTGATGCATGCTTCAATAGTCCATTAGAACTGTCCCAATGAGAGGGTCATATCCTGTGCTTTTAGGATGAGAATGTGTCTAGGGATGCAGAATAGTGCCAACCTTTATTGCAGGGTGCAGCAATCTCCTTTATCACGTTTCATTCCCTACCGCCGAACGTCACTGACCAAAATTAACTTAACCGCCTAATACGATTTTCCCCTCCCTGTAACATCGATCGGGGGTGCGTGCAGTGGATCGAGCGCGAGGAGGAAGTTGGAGGGAGGACGGGGTGGAGGTGAACATTCATCCTAATCAAATATTCATGACACCTACGTTTCTTTCGGGTATATACAACTTGGGAACACGTCTCAGAGTCTCAGCAACGAGTAGGTAGGTCAGCGCAGTCCCTGGACCACGCCAAGAAAATCTACAGAGTCAGAGCCCATTGTGCCGTGAAGAAAACCGGAGATCTTCAGCTCCACATGGAGGGGTTCCTAGCGGTGAAAGGGCGTAGAGAAGGTGAACTCCTAAAACGAGTAAAACAAATTCATAACCAGAGGGGCGCAGTATCGTATATAGGGGGGGCATTCTCTATGACCAAGCCAGGAGAGGAATGAGCTTTGGGGAAAGCTTAAAAACATCAGAGCACTCTGGACTCTCCTCCGCGCCATAGTTTGTCCGTTCTGTTCACTTACAAAGAAATGTTCGGAGTCGGTCTTGGTGCCGACGCGCGTTGCCAAGCACAAGCCCCCTATCTCGCGGACTAGCGGCCATTACCAGCTGGACTCCATCAGTTCGCTGCCGCTTTGCCCATGAAATTCTGGAATGCAAAAGTTTGCACGGAGTGGGATTTGAACCCACGCACCCATACGAGTACCAGAACGCCCAATCCGCTTTCTCGCGGCAAGTGACTGCTTGAGTCTGGCGCCTTAGACCACTCGGCCATCCGTGCACAAGCATGATCCATCCATTGTCACATATATTGCGCCTGTTTGCAGGCTTCCTTCACAGTCCATACAATTTCCTATAGGACAACCTTTCCGAATCAAACTCTGCATTTATTTCAGATCATCCCGTAAAATAGTCAGTAGCGATCGATCGAGTATCTGAAAGCGTTGATTTTCGTTCCTTTCGTTCTTTTCGTCGTTTCCGCGAGTAAAGAGTCTTCCGCCTCATCCTCTTCGAAGTCGTCCTCGTCTGACCAGAGTCGCAGTGCGGAGAGCACTGATGCGGCCAGCTGAAAAATTGAACCTTTTCGTCATTCTTCAACAATATCCAAGGAATTTATGCAATTACCGTAATTATAATGGCGACAACGCTGGCTGCAAGGAACATCACGTCCGCATTTTTGCACCATCTTGGATAGGTTTGGCGGACTTCTCTGGTGCACGACAACGGTGTATTAGTGAAGTACTGTAAAGAAAAGACGGTACAGACAGTTGTAAAACATCGCGTGGGAAAAAACAATGGTCTCATGCAGCGAATGGGGGAGGGCCATTCTGCGACAATTGGTCCCCTGCAAAAAATTGAATTATTTCAGGCAATATGAACTGTCGCATCACATGCCCCCTCTTACTACATGAGAGAGCAATCATGTGTATTGCGGTGTGAAAGTAGGGCCAAAATTTCGGAATGTTCTCGCCCCTATTTATCACAAATTTATAGATTTCAGAGACCCTAAGTAGCGGTGAGTTTTATGAGTTTTACCGTATTGCTAAAAAATTAACAGCAACTGAATTTGAGCTTAGTGTCTCACAGCAACTAATTTGATCCTTTACGGGGGCAAAAAAGAAAGAATCGAGAAAACCCGTTGGGATGTGTCGTCCGAGACCGTTACGGTCTCTTAGCATCTAACTTAAGCCCCGCCTCTTTCAATTCTGCTTAATTTCGACTCCCCCTAATGTCCTTTTTCAATTCCTTGTTTCACGGTGTTCAATAGATTATAGAGCAGATTTGGAGGAGAAAAAAATGAAGGTGGTCACTGAGATTACACCATGAAAAGAAAGATTTTCGTCCCAGCTTCCTTTTGCATTGCGCCACGCATCGGGCTTCCAATCAGATTCGTGGCGCTATTTGATTACGTCTTTGGGCTGGGCAATGAACACCAGAGCCCAGTCGAAGTTTGTGACAGTGCAGCTATCTGCCCCCGACTCCAGTGGGTTTTGTTGCTTTTTTGGCCCGTCCAAAATTTGATCTGGGTCCACGAACGAGCTGGTAATGTGGTGAGAGCCAGCGGTAACCCGTCCGTTCCGCTTGAACGAGGAGGCGATCGTGTTGCGAATTTGAGAGGATATTGCCATATTTGAAAGTGAGCTAGGTTAATTATCTGAAGCGAACGGAGCCTCCTATTTGTGGATTTGAAGAGGTCATGGCTGCTTGATATGAGAGTCGGGTATTTTCATGGTTTTGGTGGAAATTTCACCAATGAGGCGTAAAGTAGGCGAAATTAGAGTAATGTCACACCAGACATCTTCACCCCTGCCCCTCCCCCCACCTCGCCTGAGGGCAGCTCGGGAGTAGGAAAAGGGCGAGTTAGGGCGTGTCAACTGGTCATAGAGTCAAATACTTGGCAGCAACCATATGGTGAGGGTGGTGATCGGGATAAATGGTAGACCCCCTCTGAAGGTGGGATTACCCTAAGGTCTGGTTAGGTTCATAGTGGAGGCAGGGAGCGAGGTCGGTGCTCAAAAAGGACTGACAGCCTCTGGGTGATGCAACTATCGCTTCTCAGGCCACGAAAAGGACTTTGGGACTGATGGTGGTAGGAGGTTGTGAAATTTTAAGAATGATGTGACGGTTGATCCTGGTGCTGCCTATCGCTGCGCCCACTTCAGAACATACCCAAAAGAGAAGACATCAAGTGTTTTCGGCCGAAACCATCCTTTCAAGAAGATCTCTAGAAGACTGACACTGTAAGAAGCTGCAGTTGACCATTTAAAAGCAAGTACAAAAGTGTAGAACATTGCCATTGTTGTGAATACGATAATATAGCGCCTTCTTGTTATACAACCACAAAATGCGAGAAACCAAAACGCACACATAAAGTCATCTGAAAGTACAAAATGAGTCACCAAAGCAGTAATTTGCTTTTGAGCGCGGTGTTGAGCTGCTGAAGATGCGCTTGCTTTCGACTTGCTTCCGAAATCCAGAGAAAGGTTACGTCGCCTCTAAAGGTTAGCTTTTACTGTTTATTCGATCCAAAATTTGGTTCATGAGTTTGGTCGCTTCCTGACCGAGTCGTAGGATTGATGCCGAGACGCGTGCTGTCAAATCCTGCTAACCTGCAGGTACGACCTTGCCGCCGCTAGCCACTGTGCTGCCTTCCACCAAGATAAAGGTAATGCGAGGACTACGATTAATTGGTGCCGATGTTCGTGCGTGGAATGTGGGATGCTTAACTTAATCCCAAGGGGCGGAAAAAGCCAAAGAAAACTTCGTCGAAACGCGCGAAAAATGGACAACTTCTTTCGTTGACTCGAGGGGACCATAAAGGAGAGCTAGCAACCAACGAACGAGGACTTTTGCTCATGTTGACTGCTAGCCACCACCATAGCAAGTGGTTCAATGGAGAAGTTATAGCATACGCACTCAAACCGGATACCTCAACAAAGTGATCGAAGCACGCTGCTATTGAGGGGGGGGGCGAAGCACAGGGTTGTGGCGGAGCTCAGAAAGGAATGGCAAGCCTTGTACGCTGCAACTAGCGCACCTTTGACCACAAAAACGCAACATTTCGTTTCCTTGGGACCCCTGACTACTGCTTCCACTGGTGCGTGTATTTCCGAGCTGCATACACACTTTATCGTAAACTCTCGCATTGACGAAACGGGACCTTCAACCTACTTGCTTCCGCGGTTAAACGAGATTTAGGTTTGAAGTTTCTGTCGTCTAACCTTAAACGCGGTGCTCTACCTCTCTACTAGAAGGTCTAGAGTTCGACGGCGAGAGACCAGCTGCTGGAATAGCCTACCGGATTACGGACAGTGGCACGAAGACGCTGAAGAGTGAGGGCGTGAAGCCTTGTAGTGTTAGTCATCAGGGGTTCTCAAAATATAATTAAAGAGCGTCATGTTTTGCTTTTAAGTAGTGAAACCTTCTTCTACAGAAAGCGATGTCCCTTCTTCAATGCACCTTTACCTGCCCTTAATGACACAGACCCTGAGATGACAAGGTGATGTAAAGTGTAATATCAGCCTATAGAAGTTACCGATCAGCTCACCAAATGAACAGTCGTTAGTTGAAAGTACACGAGAATCCATCGTTTTTGCTATTGTCTTGACAACAGCAAATACGAGTTGGGAGGAGCACAACGACGCGGACAGCAGGAAATCCAATGAAGTCACTATGTTTTTCATTGGTACGGTGATCTGAAATGCATACGAATAGCTTATTGCGTTCAGATAACAGGGCCTTCTTACTGTGTCAGACTGTTCTTTGCGCGGGTGCTAGTATACCTTTCTTTCTTTAGAACTTCTTTTCCAACCGAAGGTTTCCAGTATGGAAAGGAGGCAGTCCGGGCGTCGCGGTAGGGGCCGGAGGGGAGGGGGCGATGGGAAAAGCCATGCAGCTAGCACCCCTCCTCTTCTCCTAGTCTCCCTAGCCATAGGTCTCAGCCTTAGAGGGAGTAGGAGAGTGGTGCGTACGAGTCAATTTTGATTTTTCCTGAAATCCTCCAGTTCCCCTAAGCTCAGCCTGCTAACGATGCACCCACACCCTGGCTCCCCCCCCAACCCGGCGACCCCCAGCGTCCTGTCCTCTTGTCAGCGATGAAACTTCAGAATGAAAACGTCTTCGGCTTTAGAATCACCGTAGAAATTGCGCAAATGAACACAAAACATATTGATTAGTTTAGCTTTTCGGTATCTCAAGCAGGTTATGTCTCTCGAGAAATGCACATTCAACTCACCCTTCCATGTCGCAAATCGCATTCGACATGCATTAAGTCCTTTTCATGAATGCTTCTTAGTCCCAAAACGATGGCAATCAGTAGTAGGCGCTAGGCTACTTGAGGATGGCATCTTTATAAGGAGTGCTCCAACACACCCAGCATTCGTCTTCCTACTTCCTACCTTCCCCTAGGTTCAAGTCGAGGGGCGGGGGGGGCGGTAAACACTGTGAGTCGTTTTTTGAACAATTTCATTTCTTACAAGATCACTCTTTCTTCCTAGGCTCAGCCAGCATAGCGATTACCCCCCCTCCCCTTAGTACACCAGCACCAAGTACTATACTCCTGTTTTACAAAACATGTATAAAGTGGCCCGCAGCATTTTTCAGTCCCAGAAGCCGAAGCAAGTGGGCCAGTACAAAAAGACTATTAGGAAAAAAGATATCAGTGATTGGTAGACAGTCTCGCTCTCAACATGAACATGGATAGAATAAACATTTGGTACAAATATGCGGCTGTATACTTGTGTGCGGCGGGCATCATATATGCAGAGCTAGAACATCCAAACACCCCCCCCCTCCCGTTAGAAATAAGCCTTCGTAGGCGAGGGTGGTGGAGGTAGGAGTAGAGTCAACGATGCAATGTGCCCCTCCCCCCCACCAATCCGATTACAACGGTGTCAAAATGACAATAAATTCGTACCAACAAGGGACCCGTTGCGACGCCGCTGCAAGTTAGGCCGGTGCGTCAGCGACGAGTCCAGGCGAACGTAATGAGTGGTCAAGTTTGGTTTTTTTGGCGTCAAGTTAAATAGATTCTACATTAGCACGTCTATACGCTTCGCTCTCGCGTTTCTCGTCTTTTCGCCATGCGACGGACTCCTGTGAGGGCTACCAACAGGAAAAGCCGTCGTGGCAAAAGAAGGCTAGCCCTCGGTGGACGATCGCAGCGAAGGCTGGTGCTATGTGGGCGTTACACTGGTGCATTCCTAGACAACTTGTCACCAAATTCACTACAGGACCGCGCCTGCTGACCGATCTCCTGACCTCTCCTTCGTGCGCGCGAAGGCCTCCTGCCGCGTACCCCAACCCATTTCGGTCATTTGGCTGATCGCCATTTCTTCAGATCCTGTTCGCCATATCTCGTTTCCGCCTTTGCTGCTGACACTGAGACACGCCAAAACCAAGGCTAGGACATCTTGCCAAGTGGGAATGGTGAGCCAAGATCGCCTTCTCATGAGGGGCAGCTCGCCTGAGAACGCCAAGTCAAGCAGCTCTTACCACTCCCGACAATTTACCCCTTAGTGCCCGTCCATTTATGGATTTCCGCTAAAAACGAGGCTAAACTTTCAAGTTCAGAAACCATCATTGATTCGTAGGGAAACGCTCAACTGGGGGTGAAGCACACTTCCCTTGAGAGATCAAACAAAACCTCACCAGTTGAAGGACCTAGTAGTATGAAAATGAGGCTTACTTGGATTCTATACCACTGTTACTGCGAAGGGCGCGACGAAATTAGCGGTAGTCACGTTCTAGCCCTCTTTAACAGCTCTAATCACTTTTTATCACTTTGGATCACTACCCGTAGTGCGTCCGCCCAGCCGCTTTAACACCTTTTTTCTGTTTTTTTTGTTTTTTTTTCTTCTTTTTTCTACAACGCGAAGTCTTCAACATCTGCTGCAAGACGTAATATACACTCGTTCCTGAGCGCCCTCAGTATTCGTGGCCACCCTTATGGATGCCAGAGACACGTTTTAAACACTCCTCAATCTGCCCTTAGGGCAGCCGTCATCGCTGCCCCCTACGAATAGTGTCCTGTGCACTACCCCCAAACAGACGCGCGTCCGTCTCAGTACATACAACCACACTTAGCTCGAACTATCCCTACTGTTTTATAAACGGCTAAACTATAAGGTATGTCACGAAATTTATAGCGTCGTTCACTGGAGCAATATAGCGCTGTTCTTTCAATAGATATAGAGATTGGGACGGTAACATATTTGGTGGGTTCAGAAAGTGATAACAGCTGATAATGGCTGGATCAAGGAAGCGCCCAACCGCCAAATGTCACGAAATTAAGGGCATGCCCAGAAGCACTGATGCGTGTTGAGTGATGAGGAGGTTGGGACGGGTTATACTTGTATGGGGACAAAAGTGATACAGCCGTGAAAGCCGATGAAGGATAAGGTTAAGCGCAAAAACGACAAGAGGTCACAGAAGCCTGATGTCTAGATAAAGACTCAGTTCAATTTATTTTGACTTCACATGCGTTATCGTCCAGTATCAAATTCCATTCGATCGCTACTCTGCCCAAGTTTCTTAAAAATGTATGGTGAATGTTTCAAGAAATGACTACCTAGTAAAACCATTTTGAAACCATTACCAGCAACTATTAGTCGAAATTACCCTAAAATTCGACGCATTGGGATTGCTTTCATACACCAGATCAGTTTTGCATTCCACCGCGTACCAAACGGTAAGCTTCAGCGAAAATGGGCAGCAAATGGAGCGGTAGCTGAGCCTTTTTACGAAGCACCTTACTGCTGGATCTTAGCAGTAGGAATTAATGCCTCAGAAGCTGTCCATTTTCAGCGGATGCGCGCGGATGCATGTGGAGATAAACTGGTCTATATTGTATGTGCAGTAGGTGTCGCGAATCGCGAGATCGCTCCCCAAGGTTTTCCCCCGGGCGTGTTGGTTCCTACCGTAGTCAGCCACCTTGACCACCTGCCTTTGCTCTATACATCGATTATGCGGGAAACCGCGGCCACCAAGTGGCATCGATGATGGCATCGCCAGTCGACTTACTACTTTCTCGTCTGTGCGGTCGCCTTACGATAGCCTTTGCTATCGGCTCCCACCTCGTCAGTTCAGTCGTCTCTCCCTGCCGGCCTCACTAACTAGTTCAGCTAGCCCCACTAACGTCCACAACGTTCCTTCTCGGAGAGACTGCGGCCCTCGCCCAGGCTGGTCCGTAATGTGGCTACTACCTAGGGCATGAGCCCTTAGAACTCAATCAATAATTCATTATTCGGTCGGATGCAAGACGACAATGCAGAGCTCCCATGGCTGGTCGCGGATCACTCCGGACCAGGCGACATAGGCAACATGCCCTCCCGGCGGAGAGGTTTGACGTGTCTTTATTCCCTTAGGATTACTAACATTTTAACTATTGTTCATAGTTCAGTAAGTAACATAAATCTAATTACTTTGGTGTCTGTCAGTGTAGCAATAAAATTTCCTTACACGAGTGTCTGTAATACACTGGTCGGCGGGATATGAGCCCGACGATGCCAGCGCTCGAAGTGACCAAGGCTAAGATGTGCGCTGTGGTTAGGGGTAGTTCAGCGGGCCCCTTGGGAGTCGGGAGGCAGTCTGGCGTAGACGGCCAAGTAGGGGAGGGGAAGAACCAACATAGGAGTCGCTCTAGATGTGTACACGGCACTCCTCGCCTCCTACCCCTGACGTAGGACGCCTCCGATTCGCAACAGTAGGATACCCAGCTCAACAACAAAACATGTCTTTGCTGGTTAGCGAAATAGTTTCCATGGTGCGAGCAAAACGATAAGCGATGTGATAAGGAGCACTATATAAGCTCGACGTCTGGTATGGGGACCATTTTCGCCGCCAGGATGTCGAGCTACTTACGTGTGCTTTGTCGTGTGCTCATGGTGTCAAGCCTACTCCTTCCACTCACTGCAGTTGACGATGCTACCGTCAAAAGGGCTCTCAAGGGGCAGTGGATTGAAATGCCAGGCAATGGTAAAAGGATTAAGGTGAGTCAACGAAAACTGTAAGAAAGTTCCATCTGATGCTAAACCTCTGTGCAGGGAAGGGAAAAGCTTACCGGCGACGCGGACCGTCATCACTCCTACTCACTGTACAGTGAAGTCAGAGTCGATAGTGTCTAATACGTCATGGTATAAAGTTTCGGCGC